ACGTGAGTTCGCGTGTTTCCATTCAGACTCCCCCCCCCCCCCCGCCCGCACGAACAAGAGATTTGCTAACAACTTCAATGAACGTGAGATAATGCGTCAGGTGGACCTACTAACGTAGAGAATATACACTAAAAAAAAATGAGGGTGAAGCTCCAAAAACAACGTCGTTTGCCGTGTGTGTGTGTATCTTTGTGCACACCATGATGATACCGTAGGCCCAACGTAATAACTTTAAACTTGACGAGTAAAGGAATCCGACACTATATATCTACAGCACATGTAACCTTGAGAAAATACAAGCACTTGAATCGCTACATTCCCGGACGCGGGGAACAATAAGCGTAGGGAGACGTAATCAATACTCCCGAAACCCCGCCGTGCCACTGCCTAAACCCTGCGCCAACGCCATTGTTGCCGCAGCCGATATCCGCTTCACCCGGAAACATGCTCGAAACCCAAGCTGGGGGTCGAAGCCAGTAAGTCCTGACCAACGCTGAACGGGGGAGCCGCCATTGGACGAAATCATCTCGCGGAAGTTTGTTACCTGCAACACGATACGCAGACCGCACTATGTGGGCTCGGTATGGCACCGGCGCGATACACCAACATGACCACTAGGCGACGAACAAAATATAGGCGACATCAACACTGGCACGTGTCTACACAAGAAGAAAAATGAACAGCGATACGTCGCCTCAGATCTTTCCTCGGGTGTTATGAGCTGCGTCGGATACAGATGTGCAGACGAACAAGGAAATCATTTGAGCATGTGCCTGTTCACAGCATTTTTGACACATGTGCTTTACCGCTACAGGTTGAGATAGTTCTACTTTCCAAAACATTATCCTGACATNTCGAAGCCAGTAAGTCCTGACCAACGCCGAACGGGGGAGCCGCCATTGGACGAAATCATCTCGCGGAAGTTTGTTACCTGCAACACGATACGCAGACCGCACTATGTGGGCTCGGTATGGCACCGGCGCGATACACCAACATGACCACTAGGCGACGAACAAAATATAGGCGACATCAACACTGGCACGTGTCTACACAAGAAGAAAAATGAACAGCGATACGTCGCCTCAGATCTTTCCTCGGGTGTTATGAGCTGCGTCGGATACAGATGTGCAGACGAACAAGGAAATCATTTGAGCATGTGCCTGTTCACAGCATTTTTGACACATGTGCTTTACCGCTACAGGTTGAGATAGTTCTACTTTCCAAAACATTATCCTGACATCCTGACGATACAAGTTCGCTCGTGTGCACATCGTTCCAACAACCGAGCCCCCTCAGTCAAAGGATGGCCCGGGATATTTAAGGGGACACCGTGTGCGTTCGACCGGTGTATGCCCTCCGTTAAACCTTTACCCTTCAAAATCAATCTGGAGAGCATGCCGTTCCAGCATCGGAATGGGTTGCCACGACCTTGAAAAAAAAAACTACATAGAAACGTCGTATACTCTTTCACGCGAGAGACGGGTAAATTTTTTGCTGTATATGTTGGAGATTATCGCGTCTTGTGGCAAGTTTGAACATACTCTTAAGCTGACTCTCAAGTCGAAATAATATGCTTACCTTGCGGAGTTCAGATTGGACGCATGTCCAAGGGCTATCCTCACTTGAGCTGCTCAACACACTGTCGACGGTGGCGTGGCGAAGTGTCCGCTCGAAATCCTTGAACCCCCGGTCTCCCTCCTCTTGGTCCAGCCCCTTTGTAATCTGATCCACCGAAAGAGATCTGCGTCTCCTGAGCGAAGCGGCGTCTTGCATCCTACCCACANGCTGACTCTCAAGTCGAAATAATATGCTTACCTTGCGGAGTTCAGATTGGACGCATGTCCAAGGGCTATCCTCACTTGAGCTGCTCAACACACTGTCGACGGCGGCGCGGCGAAGTGTCCGCTCGAAATCCTTGAACCGCCGGTCTCCCTCCTCTTGGTCCAGCCCCTTTGTAATCTGATCCACCGTAAGAGATCTGCGTCTCCTGAGCGAAGCGGCGTCTTGCATCCTACCCACATCGTCCCCCACCGTCACAGCTGTTGCGGCTATGAACGAAATATGCGGTCCTTCCCCCTGGCGCTCACCGACCCGCAGGTCGTGTTGTCGTTTGCAATCGCCGCGCATTGGGCCCCCTTGGGGAGAATGTCCTTGTCCTCAACGACCTTCGCATGATAGTCCTCTCGATGCTGCACTTGTGAAGTCGTAGCCCACAAGCCGTGCCCTGCTACAAAGTCGATAACCTGCCGGCAGGTCCCCTTTGACTTCGCCCACTGAGCACCTTTGATGTCCGCCGCTGTCAAGTGTCGACCAGGAAAAATCGCCTTCACCGTGCACTTGCAAAGCATGTACAAACGCCGTGCGAAGCCTCGCCTATCCTGGTTGGTTTTTTCGATGAAAGTGGCAGCTGCCTCGGAAGCCGGCCCAGCAGAATCCACCTCTTCTGCCCGAGTGGCATCGCGAGTGGGGGCTTGCCGCTCACAGGCGGCTCCTTCAAGCGCGTCGGCTCCATCGCTCCCATCATCCTCTCGCCGTACACTCCCCGCTGCGCTTGGCTGTGGACCGTCTGTTTTAAGAGTCCAACCAATGTCGGGGGCATCTCAGCTAGGGCATCTCGCACTGGTTTCACGGGTGCGGCCAACTCCACGCTGTACTTGTGATTTTTCCGTCGGATGCGGGCATTCTTGAGATCTGAATGCTGATCGACATTGGCCCGAACAATTTCCGCCGCCGCACGCACGATCTCATCCTCGCGTCTGCCTCTTTCGCTTCTTCGAGAAGACGCCTCACTATCTGCAGAGACGTATTTCCACCGGACGTGGCGTTTGCGGGCGTGCTCGGACCATCGGACGTGTTCGCCCGGCGCGCCCGTGGGGCGAGGGATGCGATAACCTCGTCTNCGCTGACAAGCTCCTCCTCTTCTTTTTTAGTGACCCTTCTCCGGCGCCGGTTCATCGGCTTTAGGTCGGCCCGAGTTGCTCGATGCCGCAACCTTTTTTGAGTAGCTTCTCCGATGGCCCGGATTCGAGCTTGATTGCAGGCCTGGCAGTACCAAGCTTGTGTGCGTCCTGATCCACCACCCTCCGTTATGTTATCGTCCACCACGTCCACACTGTACCACCTCTTCTGGTCCTTCACAGGGTACCCTCTCTTGCACACGCTACATGTTGGGAGCTCCGGCTTTTCTTCCCTCTCGAGAAGACAACCGTAGAAACAATCTCGGCGTTGGCAAATGCAGTCGTTGCTGGGACAAAATCCTCGGACGAGAGGTAGAGGCAGCTCCCCCTCTCCTTCTTGGTACTCGGCAAAAAACAACCGTGTCGCTCGTTCAAGCCGTGGCCCTCTGAGGTGCGTGAAGCCAGCTAAGCCCTCCGACCTATGGCATGCGGAGCATAGCTTATCACTGACGGCGTGCACTGCGCCTGAGGGGCACATGCTGCATTCGAGACCCGGGTTGTTTGTGAACCAACCGCACTCCGCACGCCTACAAGGTTTCTTGCGTGTTTTTTTCTCGGCTCCGATCTGAGTATTCCTAACTCCAGGATCAGACTGTCTTCGC